AAGTACGGAGTTGTATATAACCAAGGGGGTCCTCGTCGATCTTCTCAGCTAGCTGCGGTAGTAATGTAACTGCTTCGGGAAGGTATCACCCCAAACATAGACAGAGCCTTCGAGTTCATGACTTGGATAGTGTCTTCGGAACCAGCAGTCTTGTCGTTACCTCCGCTCTTCGTGACCCTTTTCAGAGCTCCAACGACTCTAGCTTTGATAATTTGATATGTCAATTGATCATATCCAGAAGTAACGCTCCCGCTGGAGGTTCCAACACTGCTCACCGCAGAACTCTTACCCACTGTAGCATCGGACTGCTTAGCAGTATCCGGGGGGTCCTCTGATACTGCTTCCCCGCTATCAGCCCTCACTTCCCCAACTAGCTCTTTAGCGCACTTGTCGCCAATGGCATTTCTGGCATCGCTATCCTCGTAGATGTCCCTTAATACCTCGATTGTGTAAACCTTGAAGCTGGCCAACACTTTGACGATGGTGGGAGCTAGGTCCGGAGTAGAGATAAACGTAGTGACACTTATTTCCATTTTTATGAGGAAAGAAGTTGAAATGTTAAACTGCTAATGGTAACATGAACAAGTAAACCATCCACTTCGGTGGCGGACCACGGCACAATGGATGTCATAGCGCGTCATAGAGAGAAAATCCGACGAGCTAACCTGTAGCTATGTTTAACGAGACGCATCATACACATGTGAATTCAAAACAAGGTGTTTCCAGAAGCTCAACAGTGATCGACGAGCCACAGCAAGGCAGCCGTCAGACCAAGTCGAGACAACCTTCACACTAACAAAGTACTCAAGAACAAGCCCTATGATATACTAAAGCCTATAAGCTACTTTCTTCGTGACAATATCACGGTGATGCGTATATGTTCAACCAATTGACCTAACCACCGAGAGCACCATATTGATTGCTCTACGTGGATGCCCTGCAATCCTCCTTGGATCGCCGTATTGCCTATCAGTGCGCCATCGCAGTGATATCAAAGGCCATAACCACTGGTTAATAACCGGTAATCAGATGGTGCCTGTTTGCTACCATCGATTCCAAACCCTCTCGTGTTAATGTATCTCACGAGCAAACCTTTGGTTTCAAGGGGATGACCCCGTTAACCACATATTCCCACCGATGCGCCATCGCATTGGGAAAACCCCGCTGACCACATCCCCGCTCTCCTCGGGGAGTCAGTGATTCTGGCGTCTAACGCCAACCTCCAAATGGTAGGCTTAACCATTTAAGCGTGCTACCCGCTAACACAACACTTCAAGAAACTATTCTTTCTCGAGCAACATGGTAGAACACAAATAGTTCCTTTCGCCTGATTGGACCTGCAAAAGAAATGTTTCAAGGGGAATGACCCTCCACCGATGCGCCATCGCATTGGGAAACCCCACTGACCACATTCCCGTTCTCCTCGGGGAGTCAGTGATTCTGACGTCTAGCGCCAACCTCCAAATGGGTAGGCTTAACCGTTTAAGCGTGCTACCCGCCAACACAGCCCTTCAAGAAACTACTCTAGAAACGTGACGAAACAAAAATAGTTCCTTTCGTCCGATTGAACCTAAAAAAAAATTGTTCATACCGTAGTTGAAACAGAATCGCTGCACATAACTCCATGGACTCTGTTTATTCGACAATCTGTTACCAACGTGAAATTCTTTATGCCCGGAGCGCGAGTTCGTCGCGCTTCCGAAGCACGTAACTACCCAAACTGGTGCCACATATGCAAAGGTAAATGCGGCGAGCGCCATTTCCCCCATTGCGTTGTGCAGTCGTTGAACTTGCTCCCTTACAGAACCTTCACGTCCCAGTACCTCATCGTGGTGTGGAGGTTACTGGATGGTGAATTCTAACAAGATCGAAACTGGGATCAAACTGCCACCACTTACATGCTACCCCACCCAGGAAAAAATTCTCACCTCGGGTTCGTCACTGTCGTTACGACAGTGTCGTACTCTGCATTCTGCTCCAGGATTTCTGGATTTCTCTGAGAGCGCCGTTATGCTGGATGGCTTCGAGACAGCTGATAGTACCAGCCAGGCTGGTTGTATACCGTAGTTGTTCTTGTTCTCTGCTAACAACTCAAGTCTTCGTAAGATGGTGTAAGGTAGGCTAGGCTAGTAGTATTGGTGACGACTGATGACAGGTTCACAGCAGAGTGAACAAGAAAGGGATCAACAAAGTATGATTATGAGAGCTCGGCGTGACCTCACTCTTTAGCTATGGCACGGCGGAGCGAAGTAAAGCACGTTTCGCAACTTTCCCACTTCCATCTCGGAGATGGAACACTCCGGGGGCGCGACATGATCTACCTACAAAGTACCGAAGAGCGGAGACGAAAGGCACTGTTCAAAATGACTGACCAAGTAGGGATTGGACTTCAGGTAGCCGCCAATCTTATAGACGCACTGATTGTTCGGAAGTCATCAATGCTCGACTCAGCAGTATGCTAGGAGAAGGAGTACCGACCGATATCGTAGTACTGGATATCGTCGAAAGGTGAGAGAGAGCAGCTCGATCATGCAACATTCATGAGAGCTAACGAGTGTCGACTGGCCGTGACGCATTACCCCTCTCAAGAGTAGCGACCTTCGCGTGTGAGAATGATAGGCACTGAGTGCTGACCAACGCGGACAGAAGCACGAAGGCGCGGGTGAGGATCCAGCTCAAGTCACCAGTCACACCCCGACAGAAAGGTAATAATGACGAACCCTCCTGTTGGCGGGTAATCCAGACTTGCGCACCGCTGGCGACCCGGAGGTACCAGTAAACATCCCGGAGGGTAATGGTGGCACAAGGTGGACTGAGGCTCTCTCGAAAGACAAACCTTCTCAGGTGAAATAGATGCTCGTGGAGAACGAAGTACACAGCATTTACCGTAGTGGGTGGCGATCAGCCAGATCGTCGAACGCCATCGTCCTGTCTCCGATGCTCTATAAATAGAAAATGTCGCTTACCAGAGGCACACCCGTCGAAGGAGAGTACTGATTGCTACTACGCACACTTCGACCGACAACCATAAAAGACGAAAATGACATGGACAGCCTACCAAATGAGTAATCAACGGGATAATTGACTGAATGAGTATGGATCTACTGACTAATAACTGATAAGTGATTACGGGCGTCATACAATCGGGACTCTGCATCTCTCGTCATCGGTAACCTAACTCTGTAACAGCACAGCGTCGGCATGCTATCGAAAAACCCATTATTGCGAGTCACAGAAAGAGTCCTTCCATCATTTAATAATTCTCCAGCACTATTAGCTTCCGATGAATTCCAAACGTCCGAGTGCTGGTCACGTGATGAGACGCGCCAAAAGCTAGTGGTTGGGCGTCCGTCGATGTTACATAAAATCACGACGGTTGAGTCGATAGTAAGATTTTCAGGTGAGCATACAGGTAAAGATGATAATTTTTCGATCAGATTTTTCATACGAAGAGAACCGTCAGCGATCTCACTTTGCTGCAATTCTCGAGTCACAGCAATCGCCGGTAGATCCGGGAAACTACCGTCCCGATCATAGGATTTTTTACATTCAAGAAGAACATTTTTATTTGGGAGATCATTCTTAGCCAGCACGATATTTCCAATATACTCATCCGATACTCTATGAGAAGAATCAACAATGCGTATCACACTACCGCGAACAGATACGACAATAGTACATTCAGAGGCGGGCTGCTTAGGTCTCAGAATGCGAACAAAATCCCCTACACGGATAACTTCTGTAGTCTTAGTTCTCCTGGTAAGACTGCTACGCGCCTTATCGCGCAGGTCGCACCACAGAGCAATATACTCCTTCATGGTAACATCTCTGGTGATTCGACGTGAGTCATTCATCTGTTGAAGTAGCGCAGTCCAACTGGGAATATCTATCAGGTGATCTATACCTAGCTGGGCTAACTCCTCGTCGTCAGTGGTCAACTCAGCTCCGGGGATGCGTGGTGGTATACCGTAGACCATCATATATGGCGATAACACGCTGTTGTTGCTATAGCTCGCAGCGTTCCATGCATACACCGCTCGGGGGAGTCTCGTCATCCAGTTATTGTCTCCGACCAACGACGGATCCTCCTTGTCGAGAAGCATGGGTCTGAGATGGTCTCTTAGGCCCTTATGAGGCCGTTCAACCCATCCTGCCAGGCTTGACGATGCCACTGGAAAGTACTTCAGACGGATCTGTCTCTTAGCTGCCCAGCTCCGGAACGTGTCGGCAGCTATAAAGTTGGATCCTTGATCCACTATCAACACCCGTGGAATCACGGTGTTATAGAATAAGCGATCAAGTGCTTCTGCAGCTTGTTGCCCAGAGAATCCAGTGATAGGTACTGCTCTCAGCCATTTCGTGGAAATGCACGTGGCGCTTATGATCCCGACGAAACGGCATCCCTCCACTTCGAGAGGTGGCAAATACATTACATCAATACCAACTAATTCTCCTGGATTGAGATTACTACGCCATTTCACTACTGATGCCGCCCTTCGCCAGGTTCTGTTGGCTCTGGTTCTCTGACAGCACTCACATTCAGCGACAACCTTCGCGCAGACTTTGTGCATGCGCTTCCACCAATAGTTTCTCTTCACTACGTTAGTAGTGCGCACCCCGCCAGGATGGGCAGCTGCTCTGTGTGCTTCAGTGGCGAGTTGGATGCGGGTTTGCAAGGTTGCGGCAGTACAGGGAATAACCACTGGATGTGATGCTATTGCTTCATTCTGTTGAACATACACTGGAGACCTACGGCAGATAAGATCGTTATCGTCAATGAAGAAATCTCGAGCCCACTTAGGGGCGTCGTTTCTGCCTATCACTTCTCTGGTACGTGAGCACCAATTGTCATTCAGCTGCAACTGTAGTAGGTCAGCAGTAGTCATGGGGCAGCAAGAGG